TAAACTGCATTGTGGCGGTTATCATATTTATCATATTTATAATAAATGGAAAGGTGATTCAGGATCCTTAGCCTCTGGAGCATCTTGCTCAGATTCTGTCTGATCAGATTCTAACGGACAGGGCCGTCTGGAGAGGGCAGTGCCATCTAGCAGACAAGAGTTCTGCCAGGCTAGCTCACAACTTGACTCTCTAGTAGTTGGACTAGTCCTTCTATTGCCGCTATGACATTCGTCCTCTAGGTGGCGTCGCAGAGTGGAAACCGGGCTGTTGAGTCGTTGCGCCCCCTGGTGGTTTTTCCTGTCAACATTTTGATTAAGGGCAGTCACTTCCACAAATGAAATGCCCGTTAGAGTGGATGGCAAATAAGGGGGGAAATTGGAATTTAATGTGATGTATGATCTAAGACAAAGAGGAACAAGTTGTGCAGGAGGAGACAGAACAATAAGGGAGCAAACCATACCAAGGAAATGATCATCAATAACAACCTTAGCATCTATAATTTACTGACAGCCTTCTGTGTGCCAGGCATTGTACTCAGCACCTGGCATTCATTGTCTTACTTATCACACCTCTGGAAGGTATGCATCACAAGAACAATGACTTTCATTTGGTGTCTGGCACATAGTAGGTGCTCAATACATTTTGAACCAATGAATGATGCAAGAATCGTACGAAGAAAATATTATCATCTCCATTTAGAAAACGAACAAGGAAACTGATGGTCAGAGAAGGTAACAGCTGGCACATGCCAGAGCCACAGCACCCGAGTTCCAGACCAGCTCTGCTGGGTGCTGGGGCCTCATGGAGAAGGGCAAGGCCCTCTGCCTTCAGAGAGCCTGCCGTCTAATGGGCCTCATCCACACCCTGCCTGTTTCCCAGTGCTGCTCCAGCGGGCCTGCCAGAGCTGGCTATTTAGGGCTCAGGGAGGCTGTCCAGTGAAGCTCCCTTCATAAATCATGAAGGGAGACACATGTGGGTCAGGACTGGGGAATTCAGTGTGTGAGGGATCTTCCGGAATCTTGCAAGTCTAATCTGGGATTTTCCTTCCCTTTGCTGGGGGAGCTGCTGACTCAGGCAGCTGGCATCTGCTGGGTTCCTATAATGAGCTCCCTAGGGCATCTCCTGGTCCTGCAGAAAATGCTCACCTCCCCCAAGCCCCGACTGGCCCCGGTCACCATGCTCCATTTCCCGCAGCTGGGGCTGTTGGCCTGACCACTGGCAAGTCGGAGGAGGGTTTCCTCATCTCTAAACTGCTCGAAGTTTGTGTGCGTATGTACAGCCCTTAGTGCCTGGACTGGGGCTGCCGCCCCGGCAGCTCAGTGACCGTCAGCTTGTTTGTTTCCTCACAGGCTGTGGAGAGGGAGGTTATGCTCTGACATGGAAGAGGTCACATCAGGCATTTCCTACTTGCTTAATGGAACGTGTGAAGTTTGTCTCCTCTTCCTGGGTGGGGTGGGGGAGACGGAACCACGGCAGCAGCAGGATGGGAGCCCGCTGCTGACAGAGTGTCTGGCCTCAAATTACACGGTGGCGGAGCTCAGGCATAAAATTAGCAGCCGTGTTCTGTGGCTGAGGAGCCAGAGAAATACCCACATTCAGCAGAACCCCCGCAGGGGCAGAGCAGGGGTGGGGTGGGCCCTTCCCTGGACAACCTCCTCCCCTGTGGCTGAGTCAGGCCCCTGGGAGGCTTCCTGGGGTCAAGGGGGCACGGATAGGAAGGCAAGACCTAGAGAAACCTGGGAAGTTGAACTTGAGGGCTTGCCCTACTCAAAACACACACACACACACACACACTAAAGAAGAGTAAGAAATTCCCGTGTGTCCATGCACTTTTCATGCGTTTTTCTCACAGAGTCTTACTACAGCTCCATTTGGTAAGCCTGTTGTACAGATGGGTGAAGAAAGGGTCGGGAAGGACAGGCGAATTGGCCAAGTTCAGGGGGACAAAGGTACTTATGTTTGCGCTCGCTGTGGACTTGAGCATCTGAACAGCCCTCGCGTGCTCCCGACACCACACCACACACACTGCAGGCTCCTGTGCAGACAGCATGACCACAGCCACACTGGCCCACACAGCTGTGTGTCTTTTTCTTTTTCTTTTTTTATCCTTGATCCTCACCCGAGGACATTTTTGCATTTATCTTCAGAAAGAGAGGGAGGGAGAGAGGGAGGAAAAGAGAGAGAGAAACATCGAAGTGAGAGGGACACATCGAGTGGTTGCCACCCGCACAACCCCAACTGGGGCCGGGGACAAACTGCAACTGAAGTACATGCTCTTAGCGGGAACCGAACCCAGGACTCGCTGGTCCGCGGACGGACGCTCTAACCACTGAGCCAAACCGGCCAGGGCCCCTTCCTCTCTCTTAAATCAAGAAAAACTTATTTAAAAAATTATCTGCAGATGTGGACGTTTCTTATGTTGACATTTATGTACAGTGATATGTTTTCAACTGTACACAGAGGACAGCACACATGATCCCATGCCAGGCTGGATCACATGTTTTTGCCAAAATTGGTGTCACTTTCTGTCTTCCTGACCAACTTTAGACTAGCGCCCTCCTCGGCCCTCAGTCCTGAACTGCCACTCCCGCCACAGGTGACCCTGTCTGTTACTGCTCACTGGGCAGCTTCCTCCTCCCGACTGGCAGACACCAGTGATGGAGGCAGAGTCCTCATCTGTATTATTTCTAGCTCTTCGGGTGTGAACTCTAGCAGGCTGTCTGCAAGCTGGGTTCACATGCAGGTGTTCTTCGCATTGTTGCTCCTTTGGGTTGTGTGCCCGTGCAGGTTCCCGAACTCCAGCTTGGGAGAGCGACCCCGAGCGGAGAGTTTAGATCAGGGGCTCACGCTCGTGCGTGTTTCCAGCTCCAGGCTCCGATCTGGATCTCGAATCCTCCTTCCACCCGTGGCCGGGGAGAGAGCATCTCCAGTCCTGCAGCGACCCAGGCTGATGGCTGAGGAATTCTGTTGCTCTCATCGGTTCTGACTCCTGGCTTCACACTGGGAGCTCAGCATTGGCACCGGGCAACACCAGGACCACGGCCTGAACCTCAGTCCAGATTAGCATTACAGTCTCAGCCCCGACAACCCATGTCCGCCCTTGGTTTCCCGTGGGCTGTGGGACACCAGTCCCTCTCACTGGTATAGGTTCCTCCTCTCTTAGAACCTGAAATTTAAATGTTCTTGCTTTTGAGTTGGGTTCTAAATGTTTCAAATATATTATCCAGCATATCTCCTGTGGACGGAGGAGGATGGGGAATTCCCACGTGTGTTCACCTTGCCGTTTTCAGTGATCTCTATTCCAAGTGCTTTGCTCAATAAATAGTTGCTGATTGAGTATTTCTCTCCCCTTTTCTCCTTTCTCGTCCTCTCCTCTGTCTTTCCCCAGCTCTGTCCTTCCTCCCAAGGAGTCCACACGGGATCTTGGCTTCCGAAGAGCCCTTGGCCCTGGAGTGCCTGGATGGAGAGAGACGTGCTCTTTGGCCAGGGCGCAGGGCTGGGCCCAGAGCCTGTCTGCCCCACCCTGACCTCTGCTGGGGCAGCATGTCCCTTGGGGTGCCTGGGTGGAGCAGAGACGAGCTTCAGGTGAAGGCCCCGCGGCTGCCAGCTGCTCTCCATTCTTGGAGCCAGACAGTCCTCGGGCTCCCAGGACGGCTTCTGTCCCCAGTCCTGTTGTCTGGGAAATGACCGAGGGCCTGCAGTGGGAGACCCTGCTCCAGGCTCCACCCAGCTGGCTTTGTCCCCGCAGGTCCCTGTCCCAGCCCTGGGGTCCTAAGGCAGCGTGGGTATGGGGCCGAGGGAGTCGGAAGGGCCCGTTCTGTGATTCATGGAGGCCAAGGCACGGCTGCGTCCTCTTCAATGTCCTCTCTGCCGTCTTTCTGCTTTGCACCCGAGTGGGCCGGTCAGGAGTCTGGGTATGGCTGTGAACTTCTCAGAAAGCTCCCTTCGGAGTCCAATAGCCACACCTGTCAGGAGCCACTGGATGGCCAACCAGACGCGCCCCGTTCCTTCCCAAACATCCGGGAGCACCTGCCCTGTGCCGGCACCGGGCAGCCGGCCGGGAAGGCAGAGGCGACCCAAACACGCACAGTACGGATGGCAGCCGGTCCGGCCGCTCCGACGTGGAAGTACACGGGCCTGGGAGAGGCCATTCCGGGGAGGCCTTCTCTCCGGGTAGGGCCAGGAGCCCTCAAGGAGGCGGGGAAGAGCGTGCCAGCTGAGGAACAGCACGCGCCACGGCCTGAGGGCGGGTCTCTTGGAGAATTCTAGAAGTGGAGCGGAGGCCAGCGTGGGGAGACAGCCTGGGAGGCCGGGGAAGCCAGCAGGAACTTCAGAGCTTCGGAGGGACGCGGGGCGGGGAGTCGGACTCCTCCCGGGCAGGGTGAGCAGCTGGAGCGCTCGGCAGAGAAGGGGGATCCGGTGTGACAGGCGCCTCGCTCCGGTTGGCAGCCCTGCAGAGACGCTTGGCTGGGCCGGGCCTGCGTAGGCCCGAGGATCTAGGAATGAGGAAATCATAGCCCAGAGCTCCAGGGGAAGGGGAAGACAGAGGCATAAACAAACCTCTGCACTCCAGTATGGCAGAGGAGCCTGTGAGCACTAACTCTGTCGGGGTAACCGGGAAGGCTTCCTGAAGGAGGTGGCATTTCAGCTGGGCTTGAGGGATGGCAGGCATGGTAGAAGCCAGCACTCCAGGCCTAGGGAGCCACCTAGGCAATGGCTGAGCAGTGAGGGCGCACAGATTGGGTTTGAAGCCAGAGGATGAGGCGTGGCCCCCAAGGTCACGAGGCCCCTTGGTGGCTAAGCCAGCACTGACACCCCATCTTGGATGAAACGGGGCTCTCTGATGCCCACCTGAGGCCTGGCATCATGTGCTGGCATTGAGGAAGTGCCCAGAGCACCCAAGTCAGTGGACTCCTGCAAACCTGGCATCGGAGGGTGTGCTTTTCCCCAACTGCAGTGCAGCTCAGAGAGGGGGAAGAGGAAGTCTGGGCCACCGGCTAGACCCAGAGAGCTTGAAGGAGGGCCCCTCTAGAGCTGAGAGAAGGGGGCGGGGCCTCCCAAAGGCGGTTCCTGAGGACTCCTGGGACCACAGCCCAGTTGCAGGGTGGCTAGAGGGAAGTGAGAGGCCAACTCAGCCTGGGCCCGGCCGGGAGAGACCCTCCGTCCCCCGCTCCCCGACCACTGACAGCCATGGCTGCGGCCCAGCAGCTGCGGGCTGAGAGGTGAGTGTGGGGCTGCTACCCTCCCTGGGCTGCCACACTCTTCCCAGCAGGCCTTGGGGACAGAGGCCGGCCCTTCAGCAGCCCCTTACTAATATAAATAGTTGAAAGGCTGGAGTTGAGTCAGAACCCCAATTCTGGGAAATGCAGACTCTCTGAACTGTTTTAAGGAAACTAGGTTTCGGTTCACCTCCCTCAAGCACGGATGAAGGCCCGGGGCTCAGAGATGGGCGGCGACTTTCCCAGGGCGACACAAGAGTGGGCGGCAGTCTGGATGGGGACTCAGGTGGTCTGGGTCCCAGGCTGGCTCACTGCTCCGCACTGTGGTCAGCGATGGCTCTTCATCTTTTGTGCAAACAGAATATGAGATCTGGCTTGTTCTCCCTCAGGGCTTGGCTCGAGTGTCACTTCCTCCAAGAAGCCTTCCCCGACTGCCCCCTCAGTGTTCTTTAACCCCTTGCCCTGTCTCCTGTTTCTGTACAGTCCTTATATGACTGTAACAATCTTCTCGACTCATTTCCTTGTTTTCTTTATCCCTGGCTCCCCCGGTAGAGGCACGTTTGATGAGGCGACAGTGCTGGTCTCTTCTGATCGCTGCTGGATCCCTAGGAGGCAGCACGATGCTGCTATGAGCGAAGAGCTCAGTAGATGCTGCTGAATGAATGAATGAATGAATGAGCAAACCTTTGAGTTGGAAAACGCCCTTAGCTCCTTCTGGTCCAATCCTGTCATGGCACAGATGAGAAACTGAGGCCCACGGAGGATGGAGACCTTCCTGGGGGCACGGGAGTGAGTGGCGAGTCCTGGGCTGGGAGCACAGCCTCGCCAGGGCCCAGCAGCATTTTCTGGATGTTTTCTCAGCAGCCAGGCCTGTGCTCCAAGCTGTGGGAGGCCTGAGGGCCCGGGGCTCGGCCCTGTTTTTAAGGATTGGAACAGCAGTGTGTAACTGTGAGGGGGTGACTCTGAGGGTCGCCGGGATGGGTCCAGCTGGCCGGGCCCAGGTGGGATCGGCCTGGAGATGGAAGCTGGGGTAGGATTTGCAGGGTTTGAGCGGCAGAGGAAGGCAGGCCTGTCTGCGTGTGTGGAGGGCGGGGCAGGAGAAGCCAGTGTTTACCTGACGAATCAAGAATGGCCTTGGTGAGCCAAGAGGCTGGGGCTGAGGGCTCTGGGGTGAGGTCACCCCTCTAGTTTCCAGTCCCTCTTCCCCATCAGTTCTCACAGGAGACGGCCTGACACGCAAACCCGAACCCTCAGGGAACAGCTGTGTTGGGGCTCTTGGCACTTGCTGTTTCTCAGGGCTGTGGGTCAGAGAGATGCCTTCAAGGGCCGGCCCGGCGACTGTGGGTCCCTCCCTCCCACTCCCAGCCCCTTTTCAGCTGCTCTTGGCCTCAGAGGAGGAGGCTACCTTCTCCAGCCCTTCATGGGGCTCCAGAGCCAGGTCCTGGGGTCACTGACCTCCCTGCCCCTCAGAGGCCTTATTTGGAAGTGGGCCTGTGCGTGTTCTGCTTGAGGTCAAGGCAGAGCATCAGGACGTCCTCAGACCCGCGCTGTCCGAGGATGGAAAGGACGAGGCGAGGCAGTGAGCTAGGTTTTGCACACCTGCTGTGTGCAGGAACCACACAACTCGAACCAGCTGCCGCCCAAGAGTCTTTCCAACCTCCAGCCTGCCTGTCCAGGCTCCCGCGTGGACTGGACATAAACACTGTGTGTGAGCCCTGGGCATCCTGGCCCAGGGGGCTCTGAGTTGACTTCAGCTCTGAGGGGTCTTGGCTGAAGTCTCCAGGGGAGCGGTGATTTTAGGGGGACCTGCAGTCAGATTGCTGCACCCCTGCCCTGCCCAGGAGCAGCCAGGCTACTCAGCGGGCAGCCAGACCATCCCCACACTGCCCACCAGGGGACTTGCTAAAGCACAGGTGGTGGCCCTTGTTGAGCGCCTACTGTGCGCCTGGTGCAGTCAGGTGCTGGGGACGCCGTGGGCAAGGTCCCTGCTCTCGTGGGGGTTCTTGAGCTGTGCTTGTTCCAGTGGGACCTCCCGATTACATGCATCTATGGTCCCCATTTTATAGAGGGGGAGGAGCCAAAGTGCAGAGAGGAGACTTCCCAAGGTCCCTGCTGGCGACCGCATAGGTCATCTGATGCCCTCCCATCAGGGCAGCTCGTCACCCCCACAAGGCACAAGGGCCCTTCGTGAGCGGGCCTGCTGGTCTCACGGTGGAATTCAGTATTTCCCTTGCCTGTCTTCCTGTGGCCAGCTTCTCTTTGTTTGTCCTGCTGGTCAAGGAGGGCTTCTGGGAAGAAGAAGCCAGTCTGAGCGAGTCTGGCCCCCATCCGTGCACAGAACCCCTGCTCTTCTCTCTGACAGACGTGACCCCCATCCTAGAGGCGTCTGCTCGCCAAACTCTCTTGCCTGCTGCACACGGATTCTCCGCGCGACTGGACCAATGGCCAGGCTCCTGCTGCCGCTCAAAACTCCGGTGCTTTTCCTTATAACATCTATGCCCAGAGAAATTCTGTCACTGCTTAGGGACCAGGTCCTCCACTGGCCCTGAGGCCCAGCAGGCAGAGGCCATGTCCTAGTGCGCTAGGAGCAGGGTCCGAGCTACTGGAGGGTGCTCACAGGGTTTGCTCTGAGTATTCCTGCAGCTGGGAACCTGAGGCTGGGATTTACCTAAGTCCATGCTTCAAACCAGGGACAGCCCAGCCTCTCAGCTTGCGGGGGCAAGTTTGCTAACCTGTCCGTGCCTCAGTTTCCTTTCTGTAACAAGGTGACACTGTCTTAAGAAACAGCTGTGGGCTGTGACCCAACCTGCCCGATTTCCTGCTCAGGGTATTTGCATCCCTCTGGCTCCTTCCTGCTCCACCCCGTCTCCCTGCAGAGGCAACGCACAGCCTCAGGGGAGAACGCGGAGGAGGAAGCTTCCCCCCCGGGTGTCACCATAGGGGCGTGTGTGGAAAGTGAGTGGGGAGGTTGCCAGTGGCTACCAAGTCAATCCGGGAGTGGTGGGGATTTCCTGTGCTGCCCACTGCCACCCAGAGTCCCAGCCTCTGCGTCCCAGTAGCCTGAGATCCCGAGGTCACAGGGGAACCAGCAGACGCGGGGGTGGGGTGTGCAGACTTTGGAACAGTTTTCTCCTGAAGTCCTGGTCAGCTCTGACACTTTGGAAGGGCTGCCCCTGCCCCAGCTCCCACCCTGTTCCCTCATTGCTACAATAGAGTCATTATTGCTGCCAGTTTCCTCATCTGTGCGCCAGTGGCTGGACTCGGAGACCTCTTCCGTTTCCTCGGCTGTCTGTCCTCTCTGCCTCCGCTGGGCCCTCTCAGCCCCTTCCTCTGCCCTCTGCTCTCTCTGGGGGCCGGAACCAGCCACGGGCAGATGGTTCTGACTGCTGCAGCCGAGAGGCCCCCAACCCAGCTCCGGAGCCAGCTCTCGCCGGGCTTGAGCTGGTGCCCCAGGAGGCCTCTCAAATGAGCATGCCTGGGACTGAGTCCATCGGCTCTGCCCCCCTCCCACCCATCCTGGACAGAAGATGGGTGGCGTGTGGGGGTCACTGCTGACAGTGCGGTTTCTTCCACCTCCACGTCCAAACAGGCCCCGAACCCTGCTGGTCATAATTCTGGAATGACTGGCAAATGGGTGGTATGACTATTGGAAATGCGTAAGGCTGCAGGGGACAGAGGAGCCGGCAGTAGCTTAAACAAATGGGTTACTTTTTTTTACATAGCAGGAAGTCCAGATGTTCACAGCTGTTTCCGCAGCTCGGAGAGTTCAGGACTAGCCGCCCAGAGAGTCCTTTGGTCTTCCTCATATTTTTGTCTCATGGAAGCAATGCAGCTGCTGCAGGTCCAGATGTCACACTTGCCTTCCAGGCAGGCAGAGGGGAGAAGGGGAGGAGACCGTGCTGGCCTTTTCCATCTCTCTGGCTCAGGAAAGCAAACACTCTCGGACAGGCCTCTTGCACAGATTCCCCCTTAGGTCTCGTTGGCCCAGACTGGTCCCACAGCTGCTCCTGACTGCAAGAGAGGCCAGGAAACAGGAATGGGATCTTTACCTTTGTCGCAGCCCAATCAGGGCTTGTCACCGTGGAGCTAGGCACATTGTCACCCTGAACAAAGTGGGAGCCTGATTAGCAGGAAGGAACCGGGGACACAACACATGAAACGGTGTCTGTCTGTCAAGAGTGGCATCCCATTTCTGTCCTCCCGCGACCCTCACTGTCACATCATCCGCAGCTGGAGCACTTGGGAGCCTCCCAGAGCTATTCCGTTCCTTCCGGTCTCCGCCTCCTTCCTTCTCCACGCAGCTGCCTGCGTTGGCCTCATAAAGCCAGGATCAGATTGTGTTTTCACTCCCCTCCAGAGCCTTGCGTGGCTCCCTATTGCCTCCAGACTTCCTCAGCTCGGCGCTGGACCTCCGCCGCCTGGCTTCCCCTACCCATTCCGTCTCCGATCACATCGGCCTCCAGCCGCCGCTGACCTGGGCTCACTCCTCAGACTTCGGGACCTTAGCAGATGCCATTCTCTCTGTCCAAACCCTCCCCTCAGGTCCCACCTGGTGGATTCCAGGTCTTTCTAGATCTGGCTCAAATGTCACCTTCTCTGTGACAGTTCCCCAACCTGGGCATAATTGGCCATTTTCTCTGTGGGGCATGTGTGACTTTGCTCTGTGACCCGGGGCGGAGAGCAGGGTCTGGTGCAGGGTCGGGTGCGCTGCTCCTGGGTGGTCACGCAGCCGCAAAGTGACCCGCTGGACTGCAGCGCCGCGGTCCATGGCCCCGGCTCCAGACGCCTTTGCCCTGGAGGCCTGGTCTGCTGTTGGCCTGGCCTGGGAAGGCGGTTGAATGAGGAGTGCCGGCCACCGGGCTCCTCTGCACACCGCCTCACTCCCCATGGGCCCACCGGACAGATCGGGGCGATGACCGGGCTTCCTCTTCCTCCCGCCTCCCTCAGTGACTTCGAACAGCTTCCCGATGATGTCGCCATCTCAGCCAACATCGCCGACATCGAGGAGAAGAGGGGCTTCACCAGCCACTTCGTAAGAGAGACCCCTGGCCCTTCGCCCGCTAACCTCTGTAGCTCCAGCCCCCCATCTCTCAGCCTCTACCCCGCGGCTCTCAGCAGGGTGATTCTGCCCTCCAGGGGAGCGCCCGGCAGTCACCACTCTCAGGCATTTTTGGATTATTACCACTTGGGGTGGGGGTGCTACTGGCATCCAGCGGGTGGAGGCCAGGGGTGCTGCCCAATAGGCCACAGTGCACAGGACAGCCCTGCAGCAAAGACTTACCTGACCCCAAATGTTATTCTGAGGTTGAGAAACCCTGCTCCAACCCTAGGACCTCTGAACTTCCCCCATCTGCCTGGTCCCCGGAGTCCTACCCCCTGGCCTCTGTCCTAGGTTTTTGTCATCGAGGTGAAAACGAAAGGGGGATCCAAGTACTTGATCTACCGCCGCTACCGCCAGTTCTACGCCTTGCAGAGCAAGCTGGAGGAGCGCTACGGGCCAGAGAATAAGTCCAGCCCCTTCGTCTGCAGCCTGCCCACCCTCCCAGGTAGGCGGGGCCCGGTCCTGCTGCACCTGCAGCCTGCCCACCCTCCCAGGTAGGCGGGGCCCGGTCCTGCTGCACCTGCAGCCTGCCCACCCTCCCAGGTAGGCGGGGCCCGGTCCTGCTGCACCTGCAGCCTGCCCACCCTCCCAGGTAGGCGGGGCCCGGTCCTGCTGCACCTGCAGCCTGCCCACCCTCCCAGGTAGGCGGGGCCCGGTCCTGCTGCACCTGCAGCCTGCCCACCCTCCCAGGTAGGCGGGGCCCGGTCCTGCTGCGTGCAGAGGTGGGCCCTGACCCAGGACAGATCGCAGCCATAGGCTCCCTTCCAGCTCCACTGACACTGCTCCGTGGCTGTTTTACCCACAGGAAAGCGTTCACTGAGTCCATGCCTCCAGCTCCCGGCCTATAGCCCTAGACTTTCTATGCTCTGAGACCTTCATGGCTTCAGACATCCAACAGTGACCGTGGCCGTGGTGTGGAGCACATGGGTCAGGACTTCTGTGTCTCCCAGTTAAACACACAGACTCGTCTTCCAGCCCTGCCTGCAGCCCCTCCAGGAGAACTGCCCTCCAGCTGTGCAGCCCTGCTCCTGCAGTGCCATGGCTCCCCTCCTCCCCTGCTCAGCTTCTGGGCGGTCCCCTCACCCTTTGCCTCCTGGCCTTCCTCCCCAACTGGAACCTAACCTGCACCTTAGACAGGTCCAAACCTCCAACTTCTCAGCTCTTGCCCGCTTGAACCCTGCGAGAAATATCCCCACCCACATGGTCCGGGGTACCCTCCATGCCCTGCAGGCTGCATGCCAGCAAGTATCCGCCAAAGACAGAGCCCTTCCCGCTCTTCCCTCCTTCGAGCTCACCCACCCCGACTAGCTCTTACTTTCTCCCTGTCTTTGCGATGCCCGTGGTTCTGCCCACCCAGCTCCAGGAGTGGAAGCCGCCCGGGCCCCTGGATTCCCCTTTCCTCCTTTGGAACTGCATTTGCTTGTGCCTGCCTCCTGCTCGGGGCTGCAGAGGAAGGGTATCTCCGGCTCTCAGCCAGCGCCTCCTTGTCTCACCTGACCCGTGTCCCTGTGGTCCTTGTACACTCGCCTTACTTATGTCTCTGCTCAAGTCTGCACAGGCACAGTCCTCTTCCATCGCTACACAAACAAGTGCCCTGAGTAAGCCCTCTTGTGACAATCCTCCTCAAGCCCTAAGAGTCCTCAAGAGTCTCCTTTTCTTCCTTGTACAATGAACCTTTGCTTACTATTTCCCCTTCTCTTCTCTCATCTGCTGCTGTGGTTTCAGCTCTCATGGCCCTACTGAATCCCCCTCGGGTGGTGGCCTGTGGCCTGTTAACTCTGACTTCAGTGGACAGGAACACATCGCAGGCCCCACTGAATGCCCCTTGAGGTTGCAATCTCTCTTGGCCTGCCAGGGGTCAGCACAACACAATGAACTACAAGCACACACTGGTAGGAGTGAGGGGAACATAGCAAGGGAGCAAATGCTCCAGATCTCTGGATGCAGCCCGATTTATTTGCAGATTAGTTTCCCAAGTTACATTTGGATTTATGTAAGTTATTTTCTTGAGATGGCATCTCTACAAACCATATAGCCGAGCCTTGTCTCTCACTTTTTGCTTTTTATGGCAGAAAGAGACTTCAAAGCTAAAAAATAACAAACCCAGCCATGCCTGGGCATATGGCCCGTTATCCTCACTAGGTGATCTTCCGACCCGTTGTCATGCAAACCGTATCTCACTCATGTAAATGGAGCATTCAGAAGTGCTCAAGGTGGTTTTCTTGCCTGCAGTCAAACTTGTCTGTCCACACACAGTTTGATCCTAGGCTGGCCAGGTTGTGAGAATGCATATCACAAGGTTACAAATTGCTCATCCACCAACCCCCCATCCCTACAAGGGCGATGGCCTGTGGCCTGTTAACTCTGACTTTGGTGGACACGGACACATCTCAGGTCGCATTTTTATTGTTTTGCCTCCTCTTCCAGGAAGCTCTCCAAACTGCTGTGGCACCAGCATCTTCCAGTTCCCTTTCTACTTCACCAGCTGCTCCTCCAATGTCTCCTGATAGGTCCCTGGCTGCCTTCTGGGGTGGGGGTGGGAGTCTCTGGGTAGACAGTCCTACTGTGGCCCTGCCTGAGGCTCCTGGAGAGGATGTTTGTCTCTGGTCAGCCAGTGTCACCCACCCCTAAGCCCCCAGTTTTGCTTTTGAAGAGTAATTTATTCATCCACTCAACACATATTTGTTAATTTGGGTAATATTCTAGACCCATGATTCTTAATCCTGGTGGCCTATTGGAAGTCACTCAAGATTTAAAATATCCTAATGCCCAGGTCCCAGCCCCAGGGATTCTGACTCAGTTGCTTTGGGGTGAGTCAACACAAGGAGATTACTGATGCTCCTTGGGTGACTTGAATGTGCAGCCAAGGATGAGAACCACTCTCCTAGGGGATGGGAGCACAGCCCTGAGCAAAGCAAAGATCCTGTTCTCTTGGAACTAAGAATCCCGGGTGCACGCGTGTGTGGTGGGGCAGTTAGGCAACACATACACAAAACAAAGAAAGCATTCGCTGGTGACACTACAACTCAGAGAACGGAAATTGGATGGTGGGACGGTAGAGTGGCCACTTCAGCGCCGCGGGGAGATGAGGGGAGGAGCCCAGAGACCACATCCTTGGGCTGGGCTCTCAGAACAGCTCTGTGCTTTTCCTCAGCCAAAGTCTACATGGGTGTGAAGCAAGAGATTGCTGAGATGCGGATACCTGCCCTCAACGCGTACATGAAGGTACCAGTGGGGCCACGCCACCGGGCACCCGGGAGGCCAAGGGGTGGAGCCCAGGTGCCATCTCTGAACATGGCCTTGGGAACTGGGGCTGGTTCTCTGGCTGTGACGGACCACATCATTAATCCTTAAAGGCCTGGCCTTCAGGGTCCCAGGGGTGGGGCTGTAGCAAGAGCCATGGAGAAGGTGCCTGGAGCCACACTTTGAATTGACAAATGCAGTGTCCGTGCCAGGCGTTCCGATACACAGGTGAATAGGCCGGTACCTGCCTCCAAGGTCTCGCTGCCCAGTGGAATATGGTCGGGTGGGTCATGAAATCCCAAAGAAGCTTGGCCTCTGTAACAGGGGCGTAACGGACCAGGGCCCCAGCATCTCTCACACGGCGCCTTTGTGCAAACTGGAGAAAGGGCCCCTTGCCTGGGCACAGGCTGGCTATTAGTTGCGTTCACCGGCCTTGGCTGGGTGCCCTTGTTTATTCTTCAACCTGTAAATTATCTGCATCCCTGGAAGATGGGAGAGACAGAAGGAGGAGCATTTTAAAGGCAGAGACCAGGCTGGCCAGGAAAGGCCTTTCATCAAACAGAGTGAGGCTCATGTGGTAGTGAGCACCCTGTCACTAGAGGCATACAAGCCATGGCTTGATGGCAACTTTAGGAAACTGGAGAAGGAAGCCCTCCTCATAGCCCAGAGGCATGCTCACAGACAGGAGGGCTCACCCTTCTACTCTCACGGCTGAAAAGCACTGAGCCAGGAGTCTCTTCAGTCCTTGCTCTGCCGGTGACTGTCTTGGTGACTTGGGGCAAGTTGCCCATCCTCTCTGGGCCTTGGTTTACCCTTATGAAATGGGCAATACCTCCAGTTCTCTGGTCTCACAGGAGTGGTGTTGGGATCCACTGAGAAAGGACACGAAAGTGCTTTGGAAACTGTGAACCTGTTTCCAGAAGGCAAGAGATCAGGACTCCTAGTGGAACGAGGGGGTAGGAGACGTGCAGAGGAGCTGGGAGGGGGGAGTAGGTGGCCTGCCTGCCCTCTCTGGTGACTGCAGGAACCAGCAGTGGCGGCATCTACCCTCAAGGGGGCGCTGTGACAGCTGCTCCTTCAGGGTGGCTGGAAGGCCCGCCCTCCTCTGAGAGTGGGAGGGAGGGTGTGCTCTGGAGAGAGGAGAAGAGACCTCAGAGCCGGGGCTCCTCATCCCACACCTGGTCTTAACAACCAGCAGCCTGGAGGATCCCTGCTCTGCCTGCCTGTGCCCACTTTGATTCCTCGAAGCCCAGAGCTCAATCAGTGCAGGGACCTCTGCTATGGTAACCCTGTTGTGCTTGCACACCTACAGAGACAGGAAGCTCACCACCACGCTCCCCTGACCCAGGCTGCTCGTCCCATTGTTGGGTAGCTATTGGAAAAGCCTGATTCCCTCCACACACTGGCCTCACCTTTGTCCTGATGAAGGGCATGGGTCATGTGATAATGCCAACGGCCTGGAGCTTTGTGGACCACTTTGACTAGCAACAGAGAAGCATTTGGAACACATTTGGAGGAAAAATGAACAGGCTTATCTAATTCCCTCAGTAACTTGTGAGTTAGGTACTATTATCCTTATTTTAAAATGAGGCACAGAAAGGCACAGTCACTCCCTCAGTGTCACAGAGCAGTGTAGGTAGGAAGGATAGGATGGGAACTCCCATCTCTGAGATTCTAGGGTGTGCTCTTACCCACTGTGCTATGTAGTAATAAAAATAACAGTAACAATGGTGAGGTCTCATTTGGACCGGTCACTCGCTAGATGCCTGATGCAGTTCTAAGTGTCGTACACATACTCATTTATTTAATCCTTACACAATCTCACGACAGAGGTACTGTTATCATCCCCATTTTATTAATGAACCTGTGGAGGCCCAGGGTCACCAAGCCGAGTGGCAGAGCTGGGATTGGATCCCAGGGGCGGCCTGGCTCAGCGTCTGTGCGCCTAGACCTAACTCTGGGCTGCCCCCCAGCCCTCCCCTAGGACAGCTGTCTTTCTTGGGCTCTGCATTCCCAGCTCCTGGCCCCTCCCATCCTGCTGCCTCCGTGGGATTCTCTGGGGAGGTCTGGGTTCTGGGTGCCTGTGGGGCTTCAGCACGCAGAGCTGGGCACAGTGCCCCTGGGGGCCTGTGTGGTGTACGGCTGAGGGAGGGACCCATGCAGTGTGCATCTTGGAGGTGACCCTGCCACGTCTGGGTCCTCACGCCACGTGGTCTTCACCCTGCGGTGGTAGAAGCAGCCTCAGATCTAGTGAGAGTCCTGACCCCACTGTTTCCCAGCTCCCCCAACTGGGCCAGGCACTTTCCTTCTCGGAGCCTCAGTTTCCCCAATTGTGATAAGCGATAAAGTATAAGAAGTGTTGTTAACTTGGGTTATTTGGGGATTCATCCCCCACTATTGTCTCATTTTGAGCTAAGGAATGTGCTCTGGTGGCAGATGGCCCTGGATGCGCCAGCTTTGTCACTTGCTAGGCTGTGTGGCCTTGGGTAGGTCCTGTCACCTTCTGGCCCTAACTCTCGGCTTCTGGTGAGATGGAGTGAGGTCACACGGGGTGGCCCTCAGTGCACTGCCTGGACAGTCACCACCATGTCATGTTACCTGACATCACCTTTTTGGTCTTTTCCAAATGAACTTTCCTCAAGCCCGTTGGCTCGCTTCGGACCTCGAACCCGGGAGCAGAGCTGGCAAAATACCACCTTAGCCTATTGAAACTGTCAAAATACGTCTTGTTGCTGTTTCCAGCAGGGAGGAGAGGGGTCCCGCGTGGGGCTGAGGGATGGAGCGCTGGGCGAGACCTTTCTGATGACCACCCTCCCGTCCCGCCCCGTCCTCTCGCCCAGCAGAGCCTGCTCAGCCTGCCCATCTGGGTGCTGATGGACGAGGACGTCCGGATCTTCTTCTATCAGTCGCCCTACGACTCCGAGCAGGTGCCCCAGGCGCTCCGCCGGCTGCGCCCACGCACCCGGAAGGTGTAAGTGAGGGATCCCCGTCCTCCCACCCACTGAAGCCAAAGGCCACTTCCTTCCAACCGGGTGCTCTATGCCCCGTTCCCTGGAGGCAGGGAAGAAACAGAGACCAGTTTCATCCGCAGAACATCGTCACTGGAAATCCGAGCCGCTGAAACAGTTCTGGGTTCCAAAGGCGAGGTTGCTGCTGCTGCGGTTCCAGGGGTAGTGCTCCTCCCTCCGCCCTCCAGCCAGACCTCTGGTGTCCTCCGGTGCCTGCCATCTCCCTGTCACCCAGACAGGCACAGGCCGAACGCAGCCCTGCCGCATGGCCGCCCTGGGCCCCGAGCAGGGCGCGTCCCCTCGCCAAGCCTGTGTCCTCAGTTGACACATTAGAACAATGACATGACTTCAGAGGTCGGGTGTGGGGAGTAGAAGAAAGAACCAAGGTGACATGTCTGGAAAGCTAGGGCACTAAGTGGCTGTGTCCCCCTCCCCACCTCCTTTCTCAGCCTCTGTTTCCTGGTCCACAGAGGGAGCTCCGTCTCTCCTCCAGTGGCCTCCAGAATGGGGGTGCGTGTGGTGACCACAGGAGCAAGTGCACCTGCTTTTGAACATCCCCTCTCTCCCGCCCTCCCACCTCTGGCCCGGAAGCAGAGGGCTGGGCGGAGATAACCGGAGGGCTGACAGCCCCTCTTCTCTCTCCACAGCAAGAGCGAGTCCCCACAAGGTGCGGGCTTAGACCGCTTGGCAGCTCCCAGAGCAGAGGTACCCGGCGCCTGCCCTTCCCACCGCGCTGCTGGGCCGGGCTTGTGTCTAGGATGGGGCTGGGGGCTGCTGGGAGGAAGGGCCACAGCCTCAGCCATGGACACTGAGGACCTCAGCTCAGCCGAGAGGGGGACATGAGAAGTACACAGAGGCAGAAGAGAATGTGCCCACCCATCACTCATGACTCCCTGAGGACACACACATAAAAATGTGCATTGCAGAACCAGTGCGGTGAGGGCCTGGGCGGGAGGGCTAAGGGGGCAGGAGCCCATACAGGCCTGGGGGGGGGGGGTTGTGCAGGGAAGGTGCTAGATCCAAGGAGACTGGCTTCTTCCTTCCCATGCTCATCACACCTGTGTAAGGAACAACCACTCTGGAGCCAGGGAGACCTGGGTTCTAATCCGGGCTCCTTCCATAACTAGCGGAGTGGCCTTAAGCAAGTCACTCATTCTCCATGAGCCTCAGTTTCCTCTCCTGTTAAGTGGGACATCAAAGTAAGCGCTTTAGTAGGAACTCGGTGAATGTCGCCGTCCTCCTGCCTCACTCCACTCTTCGCCCCAGGCCCTGTTTGACTTCACTGGGAACAGCAAACTAGAGCTGAATTTCAAAGCTGGAGACGTGATCTTCCTTCTCAGTCGGATCAACAAAGACTGGCTGGAGGTGAGGATGGAAGTGAGGGTGGAGGTGAGATTAGAAGTGAAGATGGAGGTGAGGATGGGGGTGAGGATGGAGGTGAGGGTGGAGGTGAGGATGGAGGTGAGGATGGGGGTGAGGATGGAAGTGAGGGTGGAGGTGAGATTAGAAGTGAAGATGGAGGTGAGGATGGGGGTGAGGGTGGAGGTGAGGGTGGAGGTGAGGGTGGAGGTGAGGAGATGGAGGTGAGGATGGGGGTGAGGGTGGAGGTGAGGGTGGAGGTGAGGGTGGAGGTGAGGAGATGGAGGTGAGGATGGGGGTGAGGGTGGAGGTGAGGGTGGAGGTGAGGGTGGAGATGAGGAGATGGAGGTGAGGATGGGGGTGAGGGTGGAGGTGAGGGTGGAGGTGAGGATGGGGGTGAGGATGGGGGTGAGGGTGGAGGTGAGGGTGGAGGTGAGGATGGGGGTGAGGATGGGGGTGAGGATGGAGGTGAGGGTGGAGGTGAGGGTGGAGGTGAGGAGATGGAGGTGAGGATGGGGGTGAGGGTGGAGGTGAGGGTGGAGGTGAGGATGGGGGTGAGGATGGGGATGAGGATGGAGGTGAGGGTGGAGGTGAGGGTGGAGGTGAGGATGGAGGTGAGGGTGGAGGTGAGGGTGGAGGTGAGGATGGAGGTGAGGATGGGGGTGAGGGTGGGGGTGAGGGTGGAGGTGAGGGTGGAGGTGAGGGTGGAGGTGAGGATGGGGGTGAGGGTGGGGGTGAGGGTGGAGGTGAGGGTGGAGGTGAGGGTGGGGGTGAGGGTGGAGGTGAGGGTGGAGGTGAGGATGGGGGTGAGGGTGGAGGTGAGGGTGGAGGTGAGGATGGGGGTGAGGGTGGGGGTGAGGGTGGAGGTGAGGATGGGGGTGAGGATGGAGGTGAGGGTGGAGGTGAGGGTGGAGGTGAGGGTGGAGGTGAGGGTGGAGGTGAGGAGATGGAGGTGAGGATGGGGGTGAGGGTGGAGGTGAGGGTGGAGGTGAGGGTGGGGGTGAGGGTGGGGGTGAGGGTGGAGGTGAGGATGGAGGTGAGGGTGGAGGTGAGGGTGGAAATGAGGGTGGAGGTGATGATGGGGGTGAGGGTGGAGGTGAGGGTGGGGGTGAGGGTGGAGGTGAGGGTGGAGGTGAGAATGGAGGTGGAGGTGAAGGTGAGATGGTTTGGGGGCTGGTGAGAGGATCAGAGAAGAGGAGTCGAGGAAACCCCAGAGAAGAGACGCAATCTGAGGATAGTTCTGGAGATCTGGGCAGGGGCGTGGGGAGAGGCCAAGGGATTATAACCACCAGGGAGACAGGTGATCATGGAGCCGACACTTGCCTTAGTTCTGTCTGACTCCCAGAAATGGTTGCTCTAGGCAAGTCAGTTAACCCGCCGAGTTTAATTTTTTGGTTTATCACAGGGTTTCTTAGCTACAGCTCTATTGATGTTGAGGCCAGATAGTTCTTTGCTGCAGGCTGTCCTGTGCATTGTAGGCGCTTTAGCAACATCCTTGGTTTCTACGCACTGGATGCCAGTCGCACCCCTCCAGTTGCAACAATCAAATACGTCTGCAGATCTCTGGGAGGCAAACCCCTCCCTGAGCCACGCTGGTCTGTCACCTGGAATAACACTATGGACGCGGCAGGCAGCAAGAAAAGATAACAGCGAAGGGCTGGAGCTCTGGAGTCCGCCTGGCCGGCGTCACGTCCTTGTTGTTTTTAAGTAGCTCTGTGACCTTGCCAAACTTGCTCAACCCCGTGGTTTCCTTTTCTGTAACTTGAAGCAATGCCATAGTTTCTTCAGAGGTTCCTGGAAGAGCTCAGCGGGGCGTAGCTGCCAGGGCTTGGTCCGCGGAGAGCCTGGTGCGTGGCTCCGGCTGGTGCCATGGCTGATGAGAGCGTCAAAGGGGACTCTGGAGCCAGGGCCTGTCTCGGTCATGGCTTTGTCTCCGCACGCAGCAAGTGTGGCCCATACATGGGCTCACAGTGACTCTGCGTGGAAACAGGAGGTCACCGAGAGGGAGGCACTGACCCAGTGCCAGCCTTTTGTATTAGGTTCTGTTGTTCTTTTTCTTAAATCCTCACCCGAGGATATACTTTTCTACTTATCTTCAGACAGAGCAGGAGGGAGAGAGAGAAACATTGATGTGAGAAAGACACATCGATTGTCTGCCTCCCACACGACCCCGACCAGGGCTGGGGATCGAAATGCAACCCAGATACGTGCCCTTGTCTGGAATCGAACCCGAGACTCTTTGGTCCGCCGCTCCAACCGCTGAGCCAAAGCGGCCAGGGTGGCTCTGTTGTTCTTAAATAAGATTTCTTTCTCTCCGGCTCTGGGTGGCCGTGTCGGAAGGAGGTTGTGGACTAGGTCCCAAGGGGAACACCGAGGACAGGGGAGGGTCCCCAGCATGGAAGGCTGGAGATGAGCAAGAACCATCAGTCTCGCCGACTCGGCACTTTTGATTTTACCCCGTCCTGGAACCGTTAGGTCTTCATCAGCTCTGAGAGCTGGGTGCTGTGGGCCGTTCTCCAGAAACAGGAAATGTTGGCCGACTTCTTGTCTTCTGGAAAGTCCTTTCTGTCAGCGTGCGGGCCAACTTCTGGCCTTGGGTTGCGGGGAGAACCAGGGAGAAGCGAGGAGACTACTTTGAGCGTCAGTTCGCACATCTGTGAAACGGGACATAAACGCGATGTCTTCCGTAGGCTGGGGAAGGCTAAGGCCACGTGTGCAAACCCAGGCGTGGCAGGGTCTGGCCTGCAGTGTAGGCGAGAGGCCTGGCCGGAGAGGGGGATTTCTGGCCGGAGAGTCTAAACCAGGTGTTTGGCGGTATCTGTGGAATGAGTGAATGAATGAGTGGGAACCACCCTGCTTCTCCCTCCCCTCTTCTGTTTTCCACCTTCACACCCACCGCCCTCTGACTCATCACAAAGTGCACCCCTTTACCTGCACTTCGGCACGTCCCATTATAGCGGCAGGTCCATCAGGAGGGCGAGGACGTTCATTTGGTCTGAGTGCCCAGGGTCCGCCACATACCTGGTGCTCGAGAAATCTTTGAATAAATGAATGAATGAGTGAATGAATGAATGAGTGAATGAATGAATGAGTGAACGATTGAATGAGTGAATGAAAGATGATAGCTAAGCCCTGGCCAGTTTGGCTCAGCGGTTAGAGCGTCGGCTCACAGACCGGAGAGTCCTAGGTTCGGTTCCCACTAAGGGCACGTACCCCTTAGTGCAGTTTGTCCCCAGCCCCAGGTGGGGTTGTGTGGGTGGCAACCACTTGATGCGTCTCTCTCATGTCGATGTTTCTCTCTCTCTCTCTCCCTATCTGAAGATAAATGAAAAAAAAAAAAAAATCTTCTGGTGAGGATAAAAAAAAAAAAAAGATGATAGCTGACTTTCAGATAAATTCAGATCTCGACTGATTCTAAAATGAAACTCTTCTTGGGTGTATAGCTTGGTGACCTTGGTCACTTCTCCTCCCTCCACATAAGGGAACTCAAGCCTCGTCTACCTTTCCCGGTCATGATAAAAGAACCGGAGGTCCCGAGACGGTGGCCCTGCGGCCTTTCTTCGCGCTGACAGCAGCCCTCTTCCCCTCCCCAGGGCACCGTCCGGGGCACCACAGGCATCTTCCCACGGTCCTTCGTGAAGATCCTCAAGGACTTCCCCGAGGAAGATGACCCCACCAACTGGCTGCGCTGCTACTACTATGAGGACACCATCAGCACCATCAAGTTCGTGGCCTGTGGGAGGGCCCTGTCCACCCTCCCTGCCCATGCCCTCTCCCATCTCCATATCACATTGTGGAACACGAGGCCCACGTCAGTACTTATGCTGCCCCCCCACACACACTGAAAGCCTGCAGTGGCCCCCGCTGCCCTCCAGATAAGCCAGAGGCCCTAACAAGAGGTCAGGGTCCATCACGGCCTGGCCAGCCTCGTTCCCATGCCCCTCTTCCGGCTAATGCCCCTCACTGGTGCCTGTTGTGCCCGCAGGGACATCGCAGTGGAGGAAGACCTCAGCAGCACTCCACTGTACAAGGACCTGCTGGAGCTCATGAGGTGAGGGTTGGGTGGGAGGACGGGGGGCACGTGCCCTGGAGGCGCGATCGGAAGGAGGGGCACAGTGCATTACGACGCCACCTGCATCTGTTTTGCCTTCTCGTTTTATGCACAGCCCAGTCCTGCAGGGTGGGTGTCAGCCCCGGGTTAGAATGAGTGGGAGGCTGCAGAATGGTTAAGGGGCTTGGCTGAGGCCAGTTTGTGAGTGTGAATTTGCAGCTGGAGCTAAAGTCTCTTTAGGTAACAACCTTGGATTTGAATCCTTCACCATCAGGGAACCACCACTTCCCAAGATCCAAATTAGTTAGGGGCAATTATTTTACAGAATGTGAACAGCGTTGTTACCTTCCCGACTATAAAAGCAACACCTGTCATTGTTTTTAAAATTGTCAGAAATCACAGAAAGTTATACACAAGTGACATCGCTTCCTATTTTTACTCCTTTCATTATCTGCTGCGCTGTCAGATTTCGTCAGCGCGCACTCCACCCCACCCCTGCATGATTGTCACTTTAACTGGCTGCACCGTATCACGCTATGGGTGTTCCTGAACTAACGTGGCCGTTCCCTTTGATTGACCTTTTAAGTTGTCCTCCAGTCTTTTTATTACCATAATAATATTGTGATCACACATTGAGTGACTTGCCCAGTTATTTCCTTAGGATGATTTTCCAGAAGTGGAATTTGGGGATCAAAGTATTTGCAAGTCAGTTAGGTTTTTGACCCATTTTGTCGAATTACCCGCAGAAAGGTTAGATGGCTCTTTCCTTGGACCAGCAGTCAGACTGCCCGCCCACCTGTGCCCCACGTGGGTAGTCCCGGCCCTCCACAGCTTCACTCGGGGGCCTCTCGGGCCTGTATCCTGCACCTGGCCAAACCCACGCCTCTTCCCCAGGACAGTTCTTAAGTGTTCAACTCGTTTATACCCAAGACACATCAGGCTGTGCCACTAATTTAATGTGAAAGTCCCTTCCCCCGTGGCTCTCAGTTTCTCCATCTGAGCAGGTAATAAGTCCTATGTCAAGCTCTGACTTCTTTTTTTCTTTAAAAAATTTTTTTTATTATTCTTAGAGAGAGGAAGAGAGAGGGAGGGAGAGAGAGAACTATCGATGAGAGAGAACATTGATTGGCTGCCTCCTGCATGCCGCCCACTGGGGATCAGGCCCACAACCTGGACATGTGCCCTGACCGGGAATCAAACCGGCGACCAACTGGTGCATGGGTTGACACCCAACCACTGAGCCACACCGGCTGGGCGAGCTCTAACTTCTTTTGATTTGTAGGTCCCGGCCCTGAAACTCCCCCTGCCCCACCCTCTGCCCCTAGGCTTGGACTTAAGGCTGCTGGACCGTTCATTCACCCTGATCTTTCCCACCCAGGCGGGAGTTCCAGAGGGAGGACATCACCTTAAATTACCGGGATGCGGATGGGGACCTGGTTCGGCTGCTCTCGGATGAGGATGTGAGGCTCATGGTGAAGCAGGCCCGAACTCTGCCGTCCCGGAATCATCTCTTCCCCTGGAAGCTACACATCACCCAGAAAGATAACTACATGGTCTACAACACCGTCCCCTGAGCTGATGTGTCCCTGGGGCACTGAGGGGACACCTGAAACAACTTCCATTTAAGAAAAATTAAACAGACTTTGCCACGTCTGTTCACACAAATCCAGTTGTTTGGCTTCTAACATGTTGCCTGACCAGATTCACGGAGGGATCCAGCTGCTGCAAAGCTACTAGAGCCCAGATAGGACACTCTCTTCAAAGAGGGGTGAGCCTCACAAGAGGCACTGGGTTCTCCAATGACCTCCCTCTCTAGCCTCCCACCCATGGCCAGAGCTGGAGCTAGAATTCATTTGGCCCCATTTTGCGATTGTTCTGGAATGCAGAGGCAATGCTGTTAGAATACTGAGCCTTGGAGAGGCCGTGAGGTGGGAGGCTGGGGCTCCTGTGCAAAGTCATGACCTTGGGGCTGAGGGGTGAGGTGATTCTGAGACAGTAGCATCTCTGGGTCCAAGCAGAAGCAGAAAAGAGTCCCCCCTGGAGTAAAGTGTCCCCAGTTTAGGATGACAAGAGTCATTCAGATTAAGATCAAGCAAAAGGTTTATTGTTAAAAATCAACAAATCTCTGTGAGTGAGAATAGACAGTGACAACAAACGATGGCTTTGGAGTCCCAGGGACTATGGATTATTGAACTACATGACTAAATTGTTTAAAGAAATAAAGAATAACATCATAACAATGAACAAGCTAAAGAGAATGGTTAGGCAAATTTACAAAAGAAAGATAGAATATATATACACATATGTGTGTGTGTGTGTGAATACTTATACATATGTATAGATATATGTATGTGTGTGTAAACCTGTTGAAACAGAAAACTCAGTAGATGAGTTAGATAGTATATTACACACATGTGGAGAAAAAAACTGGTGAATTTGAAGATAAAACAAAAAAACTTACCCAAAATATAGCACAAAGAGACAAGTAGTTGGAGAATATGAAAATGAAGTTAAGAGATATGAACAACAGAATGAAAGTTCTTTTAAAATTAGAATCTTGGAATGAGAAAATATAGAGAATGAAGAAAAAGCAATATTTAAACAGATGGCAGATGCAATATTCCAAAAGAAATGAAAAACTTAAATCTATGGATACAAGAAGCACGCCCGGGTAAGCAGGACAAATAAGAAGTGACGCACAACTGGCTGCAACATTTTGAAACTACAAAACACCAAAATAGAAGAGAAGATCTTAAAAAACAGTCAGAAAAAGTTGAGATCACTACAAAATAACAATTAGAATAATAGTAAGCAGCTTTTTCAACAGCATCCATGGAAACCAATGTCAATATAATCATAGCTTCAAATGTTTTAGCCAAAATAACTTTTAATCAAGAATTATATACTTAGTAAAATCATCTTTCATTAGTGAGGGTGAGACAAAGATACCTGAACTAAAAGAATCTTTAAAGCACAATTTTCAAGAAGGAATGTGGGTATTCCTTGAAGAACAGTCTGAGATGCTAAAACAAATGATAAGTAAAGACAATGGTAAGCATTGTGGTGGATTTGTATTGTGTTCACTTAGCCTGACTGGAACTAGATTTCCAAGAATTTCCTTTCCTGTATGGATCCAGATTAGTCTGGGTGATCAGAGACATTTTGTAACAGATTTAAAAGGCAAATGTCAAGCAGCAGCCAACTTCTTTTTAGTTCAGGTAAGAGATGCCGTTTCAGCTCATGCCCATTGTTACTTGTCTGCTGGTTCACATTCTAAAACTTCAGAACACATGAGTCAAAGGGAAGATCTTCAGAGCACTCCGATGAAGTTGACATCACCACAGAAGAACAACACTTACATTGACCTCTCAGTAAAACCCTGGATGTCAGGTTCCAGCTCCTTTGGATTCTCCTTTTCCTGTTAAGCTTCAGGACAAAGGGCACCGATTTCTTCTGCAGGTCACCCTCACTGGAGCATTGGAGGTGGTGAGAGGCTGACGTGGTTCCAGCTCATACCTGCAGGTTCTAGTTTGTCTTTGCTTCTCTCACTTCATGTATGTCTTCTATTTTTGACTGCCTGCCTGGCAGACCCAACACAGATGCAACAGCATCACATAAATGTTTTAACTGGCTCCCACGATTGAGAAAGACAGAATTCCAAAGCAAATCTCTTGGTGCATCTTTCCTAGTGATTCTGCTTCTCTCGTAGAGCCCTGACTATTACCCACGCATATGAATTCAAACAGACATTCTCAATATACAGTAATAATAGTGTCTAGTTTTTCAGGTTAAAAAAAAAACAGAACTAAAATACTGGATAATAAGAAGAGTATGGGCATTGGGAGAGGCAGGTGTTTATGTTATTCATAAGCAGAGTTAAAAATTGTTAGCATTTTGTCAAATTAAATGTGTCTGCTAATATTTCAATCAAAATCATTAAAAGAATAGAAATAGATCATATGTATCTCCTAATATTTAGATCAAAATTGATAAGAAAAAATAAATAAATCTAAAAGAGGCAAGAGAACCTGGCTGGTTTGATTTCCAGTCAGGATGCATGCCCGGGTTGTGGGCTCGATCCCCAGTAGGGGGCGTGCAGGAGGCAGCTGATCGATGTTTCCCTCTCACATCGATGTTTTTATCTCTTTCCCTCTTCCTTCTTCTCTTTCTAATAAATCAATAAACACATATTTAAAAAATAAATAAATAAAACAGGCAAGAGAGAAGAAAAAAGTAGGATTCAAAAGACTATTTGGTAAAAATAAGTCCAAATATATCAGTAATTTCTATACTGTAAACATGCATGGACTCAATACATTATTTAAAAGATTGTCAGATTGCCCTGCCTGGTTTAGCTCAGTGGTTAGAGCGTTGACCCATGGACCAAAGAGTTGTGGGTTTGATTCCCAATCAAGGGCACACACCTCGGTTGCAGGTTCGATCCCAAGCCTTGGTCAGTCATGTGGAAGGCAACCAACAGATGTGTCTCTCTCACATTGATGTTTCTCTCTCTCCCCCCCCCCCCCCTCCACTCTATCTGAAATTAATGGAGAAATATCCTCAGGTGAAGATTAAAACAATAAAAGAAAAGATTGTCAGATTGGATTAAAAACCAAGTCTGTGTCATACATCTGAGAGACCCATAACCTCTAAAGACGTGGAGACATTGAAAGTAAAGGCTTAGAAAAAGATATTTCTGCCAACTACTAAGCAAAAGGCAGCATGGTAAGGGGCGGGGGAGCTTATGTTTTTGTGTAAACTTGGCACCAAAAGTCATTTAGAGGCAATTCTTGACCCTGAACTGAATAGTTATGCTTCCCAGCCACTCTGCATGCACTGTGCATCTTTTGCTGTTGTTACTTTTTGACTTTATGTATAACTGAAGTAAGACAATGTCCGCATCAGAGGTGAAAAAGATTTTGCTGATATTGAGGCTGCTGAAAATTGCATCAGTGGGTTTGCTATGATATTATCTGATGAAAACTTTGACACAATCAATCAATAGTAGGAATAAATCTGCTCCGCAGAATGGCTGATGCGGGTCCACCAATCGGTTTCACCCTGTTAACTGTTCTTGGTGTGCCAAGTGCTAGGGGTACACACAGGATACATTTGAAAGTACCTGGAACGAGTTCGCTATCTTTGAAGGGTGTTTGCAATTTCCTTTCCATTGTTACACAAACAAGACCGCATGAGTCACCAGAGAAATGCTCTCTGACCAGTTAATAGCCACTTTGTATCACTGGTGCAAACTCATTGCAGGCATTCTGCACTGGGAAAAAACACACACACACACACACACACACACACACACACACACACACACAAACAAAAAATAAGAAACCTGTTGTAAGATGTTATCATCATTCCTGGAAAATTGCTATGCGAACCTCCTTCCTGAGCTTCTAGTGAAAGGCAGGGTTTCAGCTTTCATTTCTCCCCAACAGGATATGTGTATAACAACCTGAGTACAAAGAATTGAGGGCAAGGATAAACACTTATTTTCAGATAGTATGCCTGCTACAATCACAGGGCATAGGATTCCATGACTTCCCAAAAGAGTTCAGTCTTAATAATGTCATTCACACAGTTGCCGATGTTTGAAATGATGCTGATAAATCAACCTTCTCAAAGGGTTGGCACAGATTCTGTCTACACTGATGTTTTAAAAATAAACCTGCTGCCCTGGCCGGTTTGGCTCAGCGGTTAGAGCGTCGGCCTGCGGTCCGGAGAGATCCGGGTTCGGTTCCCGCTAAGGGCATATACCTCGGTTGCAATTTGTCCCCGGCCCTGGTTGGTTGTGCGGGTGGTGACCACTCGGTGTGTCCCTTTCACATCGATGTTTCTCTCTCTCTCTCTGTTCCTCTCTCTCCCTCCCACTCTACCTGAACAAAAAAAATAAATAAATAAAAATAAAAATAAACCTGCTGTACCCGGCTGGTATGGCTCAATGGTTGACCATCAACCCATGCACCAAGAGGTCGCCGGTTCGATTCTCACAGGGCACATGCCCAGGTTGTGGGCCCGATCCCTAGTGGGGGGAATGTAGGAAGTAGCCAATCGATGCTCTCTCTCATCGATGTATCTATCTCTCCATCTCCCTTCCTCTGTCCCACTCTGTAACATCAATAAAGAAAAAAGAAAGAAAGAAAAACGAACCTGCCCATATGGGCTTTGAAATCTTATTTTGTGACTAATGACAAGATGATGATATAAAAACTTCATTCTTGCACAAAATGTTTATCAGCCAAAAGCATAAATAAGTTAGAGGAACTGATATCAGAAAAACGTTGACTTCTGTGATTCATCTATCATTCATTCTTTGCGTGATGGGGAAATTGCTAAAGTGGTGTGACGTGCAGATAAGAGCTGACTGGTAATCATGATAATAGTGATCATGTGACACAGATGAAAACATTCTCACTGATAACGTGGTGACTGTGATCAGTTTATTAGTAGCCTTGAACAATTTGCAATTAATGGTGAGTAGAAGATAATGGCAAATTAACTAATTAGAAATAGACTTCTTGGGTAGAAATCTAAGTTAATGGGATATACCCCTGGAAGAAATCATTAAAAAAAGAATCATTTGTGCCCGGCTGGTGTGGCTCAGTGGTTGAGCGTCGACCCATGCACCAAAAGATCGACGGCTTGATTCGCAGTCAGGGCACATGCCCAGGTTTTGGGCCTGATCCCCAGTGTGGGGCATGCAGGAGGCGGCCAATCGATGTTTCTCTTTCACATCGATGTTTTTATCTCTCCTCCCTTCCTCTCTCTCTCTCAAATCGATAAAGAAAAATAATTTTTAAAATCAGCCACAATGCTGCTCCTTCATTTGAGAACACTGTTGCTGACCCATAATCAAACATCCAATAGGAAAACTGGCATCCTCAAATTAGGATAATTCAAGGAGAGTTTAATAAAGGAGTTACTTACAAAATAGAAGCAGTGTTTAGGGAAAAAAAACAAAGTATAGTTCAATATTCCAGAAATCAGATTATGGACTTGTTACCTTCCTGAGTCCAAAGGAATAAAGGGAAGAAGTGTTTACAAAACCCGAGAGGAGAGGGCCACCTGGAGAGGACCAGTGGCCTTTGCTTGGTGGTCGTAGTGGACCCAAAGTAACCCTGCAGGGAGAGAACCAGAGGAATAAATATCCACCCTTCTTCCCCTTTCTGCCTCCAGTCTCTGGAGGAGGGTTTCCCCGTTGCCAGACCTAACCGGAAGCCAGAGGACTAGGCTATTATAATCTACACA